GTGGAGCGTGTGTTATAGTTTGAGTGTTTCTGTGTCCTTAGATATTAGTTTGAATTGTAGACCGGGAATGTTGGTTATCTTTTGTATATTGCACTAAACTATTACTGTAGTCATTGTATTTTCATAATTGAGTATTCAGTAAATACCAGTCTTTTTCCAAACCATTTTCATTCCTTAATAAAACACAAAACAATGTCAAAAAATCTGGTCGAAAATGTTTATAAGCATTTTGTTGGATGATGCTTACGTTCCCACTCTTCTACTGAAGAATTGTCTCAGTCCTCCCATTCGTCCAAAGAAGCGCTAATTCATTTTGTAATAAGCAAAACTATCCAGTTTTCTATTTCTTTGGCTAAAAACTTGGAAAGATTTAGTGTGTTTCGTTATGTGGGGCCGTACCAAAACGTAGCACAAATCCATGAAATCATTGGCAACTGAACTGAGCCATGTCGGTAAGTGTAGACTACCAGGTTGCGTTCCGCGGTCAGTCAGTTGCAACGTAGAACTTCGTACGTATGTACATAAGTTCATGTTGCCATACCACATTAATAGCACAGAGACGCAAATGTCAAATCAAATCCCATAGTGATAAAGATGGTAGAGGTATTAATGTTATAATAAAGAAGACTAGGGTTTAAGATATTATTCAAAAAATATAATTCAGTGAGATAAGGTTAGAAATTCAAAGGTAGAGGTGCTGGCTAATCCAGAGGATTAGGATTTGAGAGAGCTCAAAGAATGGATGCACTTGCGCCATTGCAAACGATTTTGAGCCATGCCGTTCAAAGTCTCTAACCATTGATGACTTTCGTCTCGCGGACCCCAACCAGGTAGTCTACATCTACCAACATGACTCAGTCCACTTGTCAGTGACTTCATGGATTTCTGCCATGTTTTGGTCTGGCCGCCCCTAGCTTTCTTCCAACCTACTCCTATACCACAAAACATAGCTCGTCGAGGCAGTCGGTGGTTAGGCATACGTAACACATGTCCCAACCACCTCAACTGATGAAGTTTCACCACTTCATCGATTGATCTACCATCCTTACCTAGTACTCGTTTCCTAACGACAGCATTGCTTACTCGGCTGTCCCACGATATACGAGCAATGCTTCTTAAACATCTATGATCGAATACTAGTAACCTACGAACATCTACTCTTAACGGCCATGTTTCACAGCCATATAAGAGAACGGAACGAACTGCTGCGCAGTACACCCGCCCTTTGGTTAGCGAACGGATATCACGCCTACGCCATAAGTGACGCAGGTTGGCAAAAGCCAATCGAGCTTTCTGTATCCGAGCTGAGATTTCGTCAGTCACCAGACCGTCAGCACTGATGAGACTCCCCAGATAAGTGAAGTGATCTACACGCTCGACTACTTCATTCCCTATCACTAGTTCAGGTGCCGAAGCAACCCAGTCTTGAAGCAACATTTTGCATTTCGAGGGGGAAAACCGCATCCCGAACATGCTCGCATTGTTGCTTATGGTAGTCAGAAGACTCTGCATTTTGTCAGCGTCTTCACCGAATAGAACTATGTCATCGGCATATTCTAGATCAGTAAGCGACTTTCCTGGTAGAAGGTCAACCCCTGAAAAATCTGACGAGCTTAATGTTAACTGTAAGAGGATGTCTACGACAAAGTTGAACAAGAATGGAGAGAGTGGACAGCCCTGACGGACACCACTTGATGTAGAGAATTCCGGTGACAGTTCACCATATGCTCTCACCCGACCAGTGGTGTTCGAGTAGAGAGCTTGTATAAGATTGATGTACTTCTTTGGTACACCTTTCAATGACAGACACTGCCACAGAACCTCACGATCCACTGAGTCGAATGCCGCCTTAAGGTCCGGGAACACGACTATTGTCGGACGTCTAAATGTGTGTCTGTGTTCCAGGACCTGTCGTAGTGTGAAAACGTGGTCTATACAACCACGTCCAGGTCGAAAACCTGCCTGGTTTTCTCGAGTCTGCTCTTCGCGAGCTCTAGTTAGACGTCTAAGTATAATCGAGGCTAACAATTTAGAAACTATATTAGTTAAACTTATTCCCCTGTGATTGTCACAAGAGGACTTCTGTCCTTTCTTGTAGATTGGGACAATTAGCGACTGAGACCAGTCAGATGGGATTACGTCCATTTCCCAGATTCTACCTAGGATCTCGGTCAGTTTAACCGTTAAAACTGGACCACCATCCTTAAACATCTCAGGGGTAAGCCTATCGGGACCTGCCGCTCTACCTCTCCTTAGATTTCCTATAGCTTTCTCAACTTCATGTAAACTGGGAGGACTTAAATCGATTTGCCATTCAGGATGACTGGAGATCGTGGGCAACCGAAGAGTGGCTGAAGGCCAGTTGAACTGATCCCTAAAGTGTTCTGCCTATCGATCCAGTCTCCTAGATTAAGAATGGATAATAAGACCATCCTTTTCCGAGATAGTCTCACTTACATTCGGGTTCCTAATACCGGTTTCTTTGATAAGGCGGAAAAGTTGTCTAGTGTTGCCTATCGTCGCTGCCTTTTCCATCGCTTTTGCTTTCGCCACCCACCACTGTTCACGGTCGTTACGTAGGCTTTTTATAAGTCTGCACCTAAGCTGACTACGCTCTTCATCATGTTCAGAGTCAGATGGGATGCGTTTTCGAGCATCCATCAGTTCGATGGATGCGACTGAAATCCACTGCTTCATCCTAGCATTGTGGTTTACCTTGTCAGCAGATACCATTGCTGTTTCCACAGCCTTGATATGATTCCAACCTGCTTCAGGATGGGAATCACTTGCATGCCCGCCTAACTGTTTTTCTAGTTCCTCCTGAAATATTTTCTTAGCTTGATTATCATCAAGTAAAGCCCTAAGAGGCTTCCTTACGGTGTCTTTCCTACGTCCAGCAAGCCTCAAACAAATACGTGCTCGCACTAGGGCATGATCTGAATCTAAACATGTGCCCCAGAACGAGCGACAGTCCTCTATCGAACCCCTCCATCGGTGGCTGATGGCGATATGATCTAGTTGTGTCCAACGTTGAGACGACTTCGGGGGTCGCCAGGTCAAAAGGTGTTTTTCCTTATGCTTAAAATTAGTGTTTGCTAGAAATAGTTGGTTATCTGAGCACAGCTGCAACAGACGGTCGCCATTGTCTGTTCTTTGAGCCGCGAGACCGTAACATCCACCTAGGTGTCTTTCATTTTCACTTAGTCTACCTACTTGTGCATTGAAGTCACCAGCCATTATAACTATATCAGAGCGCTTAACTTTTTGGAGAAGGTCCGAAAGCTTTCTGTAAAACTCATCTTTTACATCGTCTGGACTGCAGTCAGTGGGGGCGTAGGCTGATATGACGAAGAGGCAACGGCGATTGTCCCTATCTTTCCGAGTCCTTACTGTCCCGTTTAGTCGGACGGCGCACAAGCGACTATCTACAGGGATCCAGTCAAGGAGAGATTGTTCTGCCCTACGACTCAATGCTATGCCTACGCCAGCAAGACCCCGGGAAGCAGCATCAGGGCTACCGGATACACGAAGGGTAAATCGAGCTGCTTCTTTATCTTGACATGGTGAGGTCAAATGAGTGATGCTACTCGGATCCTGTATGCGCGTTTCCGAGACGCAGCACACATCGATGGAACGAGATTCTAAAGTCCTAGCTAATGATGCCTGTTGCCCTATTTGACACAATGTCCGTACATTGAATGCTCCAACATGTAGTTTGGAACGGGGTTTAAGGAGAAAAGGAACGACGTTTCGCAAACTCGCATCGTTTGCATTAGCTGTGCACTGTAATAAATGAATGTGAGAAGAGTTAGTTGTGGAGATAAGAGAGGTATTAGGGAATTTAGGAAGGATTTGATTTTGAACGATTTTGTCTCGTGTGCTGTTGCGTGTATGAGGGCGGTTATCACTTCCCGGCTGCCTACACCGTGGAAGGTTGTTTCTTGACGAACCTAAAAAGGAAGATGGATTAGTGTTGGTGCGTGACCGCAGGGTCCAAGGGACAACTGCTTGAGGCCGGTCACGCACGGCCTTTTTATGAGACGTTGTTTGAGGATTAGCTCCGTTCTTAGAGGCCCTTAGTGGGCACCCTTACCCAAGGAGACGGAAATCCGTGAGGTAGGGGAGGTGTGACATTTTTAGGGCCGACCTTTTCTAACCCTTCCTTCCTTGTGAGAAGGCAGCATCGCTGCAGATGCTGGTTGTCCGAGGGAAACACCTTGCTGCTGTCACACCCCTCTTCAGTCAGTCAGCAGTACGACTTCGCCCTCAGACCTTGGGTAGCTGCTTTTAGTCTCATCGTTCTCCAATCGACCTGCCTGGCATGGTAGGACCTGCAGGAACATGTGTTCCAGCCAGTATAGCTCGGTTGGGTCATCACGATAGGCAAGCCCGACCACCACGTCAAGGTAGCAGCTTCGGTCGGGTTGCGTTCCGCGAGACAATAGTAATTGATGGTTAGAGATTTTGGATTACATGGCTCAAAATCACTTGTAATGTTGGAGGTGCATCCTTTTTATGTCTTTTGTCAAACTATAATCTTATGAACTCATTAATTTACATAGTTCACTTGCCATCGACGAAGTGCTCGTTTTTCAGCAGTCGGCACACACATCTGGGCAATATTGGTAAACTACAGATATAGACCAAGTTTTCGTCATTTAATATGACTGGACAATGCCCGAGTCCGTCGAACAATGAATGATGTCAGTGGTTAGTTATCTCGTGACCTTGTTGCGACCACAGCTTCCAAGTAGACGATGTTTGATCTTGAACAGGTTAATTCAACCTATTAGTGACTAAGTTCTGATATGACGACGACCTACAGTTACGGACTCGTTCTGAGCATTGTTTGACTTCCCAGACTTCGTAGGCAGTCTTTAAAGCATTGACAGGTGATAGATAACACTTATTTATCACTTAAGACTAGTCTCAATGACACAAACCCATTAACTAATCATTCTTATATTGTATAGTGACGATTTTACCTATTTTATTTTCAGGGCTGTCTGCCTATCTTTGGAACATTCCTTAAACGCAACCTCCTAATTGTTGCTTGTGTCGTATTTGGTGTATGCTTCTTCCAATTATTGAGCACTATCATAGCCTGTTTTTTGGCTCGCCACATAAAGGTGAACGTGGATGTGTAATCGCTGCACACAGTACGCAGTTGTTGATAACTGTCGATTTCGTTTAGTATTTTCTTTGTGTTTTAGCGCCTGAAAATTGTGCCTTGGATACCAATCATGTTCATAACCTCACATATGATCTATCTCAGTACTAATAGGATACAAAACTCGTTTTTCTCATTTTTTTTCTCATTATTTTGCAGAATCAGCTGTCTTGATTTCTTAGTTTATCATTATCTACGAACTGGTGATAAATAATCTTCATTACTATATCTTAATGTGTAACCTTTAAGTAAACACATCGCTTATTTATGTAGTTTCAGATATATGTGATATGCTTTTCGCTTTGCAACTTATGCTTATTTCGTCTCTGTGATATTATTAAACATTTCCAGTACGAATGAATGACCTCGAGTTTTCTTTGTGTTCAACTGCGATGGGACGAGACCTAACAGTGTCTACACAGTGATATTAATGTATTTGACTCACTTTCCATGTATTTTAGTTAAACGGTTGCCCACTGTGGTCCAAAATACCCATTGTTTAGTTATTGAGTTTAGTTTGAGACTAGTAACCGTCCCCTGTAGTGTGTAATTTAAAGAATACACGATAAATATTTGATGAGTAGTTTTATGAATAGCACTAGAACTCTATACCGGATAAGTGAGGTTACTGATCTATGTTTGGTTAGCAAATATACATTCAGTCAGTCAGTCAGTCATCTGCAACGTAGAACTTCGTACGTAAGTACATCAGTTCATGATGCCATATCACATTAGCACAGAGACGCACTGTGAGTGAGACTATTTCGGAAAAGGATGGTCTTATTATCCATTCTCAATCCAGGAGACTGGACCGATTGGCAGAACACTTGAGGGATCAGTTCAACTGGCCTCTAGCCACACTTCGGGTACCCACGATTTCCAATCATCCTGAATGGCAAATGGAAGTAAGTCCCCGATTCTTTATGAAATAGAGAAAGCGTTAGGAAAACTGAAGCAAGGGCGAGCTTTACGTCCTGATAGGCTAACTCCTGAGATGTTTAAGGATGGTGGTCCAGTTTTAGCAGCTAGGTAGACTGAAATCTAAGTTAGAATCTTGGAACTGGACGTGATCCCACTTGACTGGTCTCAATCCCTGATTGTCCCAGTCTACAAGAAAGGACAAAAGTCTTCTTGTGACAATCACAGGGGAATAAGTCTAACTAATATAGTTTCTGAGTTGTTAGCCTCGATTATCCTGTTAGTGGGACATGGATGGATTTAAAGCATGATTACGTCACTACGCGCTGATTGGCTAATTTCCTATCCAATCAGCGCCTGATCGAAGCTTGGAGAACAGGATAGAAAATTCTCGTATTATTGGCTGCATGCTGATTGGTCAAATCCAGTCCAGTCGATCACGTGAATTTCCTTCCAGAAGTTTTCTCATCTAAAGGCTATAAATAGACTCGCATTGTATTTATCTTCGCCTTCAAGCCTTCTTAGCATTCTTCGCTTTCAAGCCTTTTTGCCTTGGCTTTCGCCATCACCTCCAGCTTCTTTTCCTTGCTATTTTGGAATACAATCCTTCCTGTTCAACCGTGTTTTGATTTGTGTTACTTGTCCAGTGTTTTGTGTCAAGAATACTAAGCAATAAGATTTAGCCTAGAGAATATCGTAAGCAACCGTTACAACAGTGGCGACGGAGAAAAAGGAAAAAAAATTTTTCAAGATGCCTATTTCAGATGATCAGCTTAACCGAATACTACAACAACAGCAAGCACAATTAGATGCACAAATGCGGTTGTTGGAGACCCTAACTCAACAGCTCAACATCCAGTGCTCGAGTCCACATACTATTTTAAATACGTCTTGTGAAGCAGTGGCAAACAGCATACCAGAATTCGTCTATAATCCTGAATGTGGAAATACTTTTCTGACGTGGTTCAAACGTTGGGAAGATACATTTAGAATTGAATTCGGTAAACAAGATGATGCATGGAAGACTCGGTTGTTGCTGCGTAAGTTGGGAAGCAATGAGTATGAACGTTACGCTGACCATGTATTACCGAAGTACCCTCGAGAGCTCAGTTTCGAGGAGACAGTAACTCAGCTGTCAGATATTTTCGGCGAATCATCATCATTGTTTAGTATTAGATATCATTGTCTAAATCTGGTGAAACACGAAGATGATGAATATGCGGTTCTTGCAGACGTCGTCAACAGAGAATGTGAACGCTTCAAGTTACGCTCGTTGACGGAAGACCAATTTAAATGCTTAATATTCATCAAAGCTCTTCAGTCACCGCAAGATGCTGAAACCAGAACTAGACTTTTGATTCGAATGGACCAAGACCCTAACGTCACACTCAGAACATTGACAGATGAGTGTAAACGCTTACAAAGTATCAGGCACGACAACATGTTGATTGAACAGGTAAATCACAATTTAACCAGCAGTAGTGTCAATGCTATTACTAGGTTAAATGTCCAGAAGCCGATAGCATCTCGTAACAAACCACCGACGGCATGTTGGTTATGTGGTGATTGGCATTACGTACGATTTTGTCCATTTAAAAAACATAAATGTCAAATGTGCAATAAACGTGGACATAAAGAAGGCCATTGTCAACCAAATCGTACGTCACAGCCCAAGAAGAAGCGCAAACGTACTCGACATGTGGTGAAATCAGCCGAGTCTAAATCACTTTCTCTCGTAGCTGCTTTTCAAACAGAATATGACGTTCGGAGAAAGTATGTTACTATCCAGATGAACGGTGCATCAGCTCGTTTCCAAATCGACACGGCATCAGATATCACCTTAATGTCTAGAGAAACGTACAACCTGCTGGGAAAACCGCCAATGAAGCCATCTAAGAAAACAGCTAAAAGCGCTTCAGGTGGTGTGTTAAAACTGGTTGGTGAGATGCAGTGTGAATTTTCCTTCAACGGGAAAAAATGCGCAGGAATATGCTATCTGACAGAACGGCCAAACCTTGATCTTCTTGGTCTAGATATGCTAGAAAAGCTGGGAATAATGGATTTACCCATTAACAGTGTCTGCAGCGTATCGTGTTCATCAGTGGACACCCCGATACTTAAAAAGAAGACAGGTGAAAGGTTACAAGATAAACAAAAGAGGAAGTCAGCCTCTGTTTCTCAGAATAGCCTTGGCCGCAGTACGAATCTGAAAGCAAACCTACCAGCGAAAGCAGATGCCAAACCTACTTCACGTCCGAGACGCCCTATACCATATGCTGTTCATGAGCCTCAACAAAACTTATCGGTGGGGAAGCAGCCCGATCGGCGGTTGTCTAAAGATATGGTTCCTACAAAGCAGGCGGCTCGTAAGAGTACGGGTGGCAAGGCACCCAGGAAGCAGTTGGACCCTAGCACCAGATCCTACGAATCTTCTCAAAGGGGAGGTGTTAGTGGGACATGGATGGATTTAAAGCATGATTACGTCACTACGCGCTGATTGGCTAATTTCCTATCCAATCAGCGCCTGATCGAAGCTTGGAGAACAGGATAGAAAATTCTCGTATTATTGGCTGCATGCTGATTGGTCAAATCCAGTCCAGTCGATCACGTGAATTTCCTTCCAGAAGTTTTCTCATCTAAAGGCTATAAATAGACTCGCATTGTATTTATCTTCGCCTTCAAGCCTTCTTCGCTTTCAAGCTTTTTTGCCTTGGCTTTCGCCATCACCTCCAGCTTCTTTTCCTTGCTATTTTGGAATACAATCCTTCCTGTTCAACCGTGTTTTGATTTGTGTTACTTGTCCAGTGTTTTGTGTCAAGAATACTAAGCAATAAGATTTAGCCTAGAGAATATCGTAAGCAACCGTTACAACAGTGGCGACGGAGAAAAAGGAAAAAAAATTTTTCAAGATGCCTATTTCAGATGATCAGCTTAACCGAATACTACAACAACAGCAAGCACAATTAGATGCACAAATGCGGTTGTTGGAGACCCTAACTCAACAGCTCAACATCCAGTGCTCGAGTCCACATACTATTTTAAATACGTCTTGTGAAGCAGTGGCAAACAGCATACCAGAATTCGTCTATAATCCTGAATGTGGAAATACTTTTCTGACGTGGTTCAAACGTTGGGAAGATACATTTAGAATTGAATTCGGTAAACAAGATGATGCATGGAAGACTCGGTTGTTGCTGCGTAAGTTGGGAAGCAATGAGTATGAACGTTACGCTGACCATGTATTACCGAAGTACCCTCGAGAGCTCAGTTTCGAGGAGACAGTAACTCAGCTGTCAGATATTTTCGGCGAATCATCATCATTGTTTAGTATTAGATATCATTGTCTAAATCTGGTGAAACACGAAGATGATGAATATGCGGTTCTTGCAGACGTCGTCAACAGAGAATGTGAACGCTTCAAGTTACGCTCGTTGACGGAAGACCAATTTAAATGCTTAATATTCATCAAAGCTCTTCAGTCACCGCAAGATGCTGAAACCAGAACTAGACTTTTGATTCGAATGGACCAAGACCCTAACGTCACACTCAGAACATTGACAGATGAGTGTAAACGCTTACAAAGTATCAGGCACGACAACATGTTGATTGAACAGGTAAATCACAATTTAACCAGCAGTAGTGTCAATGCTATTACTAGGTTAAATGTCCAGAAGCCGATAGCATCTCGTAACAAACCACCGACGGCATGTTGGTTATGTGGTGATTGGCATTACGTACGATTTTGTCCATTTAAAAAACATAAATGTCAAATGTGCAATAAACGTGGACATAAAGAAGGCCATTGTCAACCAAATCGTACGTCACAGCCCAAGAAGAAGCGCAAACGTACTCGACATGTGGTGAAATCAGCCGAGTCTAAATCACTTTCTCTCGTAGCTGCTTTTCAAACAGAATATGACGTTCGGAGAAAGTATGTTACTATCCAGATGAACGGTGCATCAG